TATTATATGAAACAATTTCACAAGATTAAACAATTTCATGAAAAAATTTCATAAGATTAAACAATGAAATGGACGTATGAGGGTGATTTGTTCGGTTTACACAAATGAAGGCGGTTTTTCATTTGATCGCTTCTCTCTCTCTCTCTCTCTCTCTCTCTCTCTATATATATATATATATAGGGGGAGGTTCAAATGAAAACCATGCAATTCTAAGAAACCGTGTAAACCAAATTCGACCAATAGGAAAATTTCATTCTTTTTTAATTAAATTTAATCAATAAGGGTATTTTGGTCATTTTCTATATTTTTATGATAAATAAGGTAGTTATTAATAAATGTTAAAAAAGGAAATTTAATAATGGAAATTTCTTAAATGGTAACATATTAAATTTTTTAATATATTATAATATTAAAAACTTGATTTGAATGAGACATTCATGATGAAAATGTTTCATAATGAAACTGTTTCATATGGGATGTTCATATGGGGCAAACTTCATTCCTAAAGTTCATGAAACTGTTTCATATGTGGCAAATTTCATGAAACGGTTTCATAATGAAAAAGTTAATAATGATGAAGCATGTTCATAATCTAATACTCTAGGCATATTGTCCAAATTAATACTCTAGGCATATTATCCACTTTAATGAAAAGATTCCATTAAATTGTTTCATAATGAAAAGGTTCATATTGATGAATCATGTCCATATGAGTGGAATAAGGAAAATGAACTATTGATGCAACGGTTTCATCAAACGTTTCAAAACAGTTGAAAAATCGAAATAATATAATCTCTCTATTTCCTAATGAAAATATTGTAATGAATAGTTTCATAAACAAAGTTCAAAAAACAATGGTCATGAAACTGTTTCAATGTGAAAATGTTTCGTTGTAAAATGGTTTATTTGCTCCATCTATGCATATTATACGTGTTAATGAAATAGGTGCTTTGTGATTGAAGTTTCATGGTTATCTTTGTTGCTTTGTGATTGAATGTACATCTAGGTTCATGATGATCCATGTTGCTTTGTGATTGAAGTTGATCCGTTTAGTTGGTAGGATGAAAATGAAACGGCTGCGTAATGTATTGTGTTCTTTTATGAAATAAATATATGATGAAACGGGTGCATATTATATTTTGTTCTTTATGAAATTAATGTTAATGTGAAAA